AACTCTTGTGCTATGACTCAAAGGTTTGAAATCTCTATAAATTAAAAAAAAAAAAAGGAAAAGAAAGTATCTAACAAGCAAACAAAGATTTGGAATCTCTATAAATAATTTATTTGAAAAAATTACGTAAGTTGGAGAACACTCACTCTCTAACCTTTCTTTTTTTATCGTTCACTCTCTAACTTTTTTTAAAAATAAATAGAAAGGTTGGAAAGAAGTTCGGGTTCTAACTGACTTAAAAACACTCAAGGAGTCTACCCAAGAAATGAATTTTTAAGGCTGTTACAGCCAAAGTATATGATGCACCCAAGGGGTATACCCAATGGATGGACATACATATCATTCAGTTCCTTAGCTTCCTCCCTCCCTTACTTTATTAAATATCAACCAGAAACTTGGCAGTGCATAAGACTTACCAGTATACAAAAAGCTATTTGTATCGCGACCGGATATATGAAAGGAAACCTGATCTAGGTGTACAAATCCCCTAACATGTCTAGGTAAACTATTCATAGTATTGTATCTGGTTGATATTCCAAGAGAAGCTTCACCTGCTAATCCATCTGTCGCTGAATTTGCCTCTCTAAAAATATGCTGAACAATATAGGCCCGCATCTCCATAATGTGACAAATTTCCATGATTGAAAAGAATGCTTCCGTGGAACATTCTTCATAGACAGTAAAAGGCTAGCCAAACCTTTATTGTCTGTTTGAATTTCCACCTCTAAGCCAAGCTGACAACACTTCCTTACTTCAAACAGGACTCCATAAACCTCCGAATCAAAACTATCACCTCCTCCTAAGTAACCACTTTTACCATATACAAAGCTACCATTCCTTTTCCTGATGCAAAAGCCATATCCAGAATCCGAATTAATAAGTGAGCCATCATTGTTAAGAACATAATCACTACCCTCTGAAGCATTCCAACTAACAGCCATACAAGTTCTCATCCGCACCTTTTGAAGCTGAAAGCCAAAATTATTTTCAATCCAATTCCGCTCTTCTACATTCCGCGCCTTCAAATCATGAGTCAGTAAAACATTCCTTATGTCTACCTTAGTTGCCAAAATAACGTTCTCCCTATTGAATTTCTGCCCATCAAAAAGCATTTTATTCCTGATTTTCCAAATCTCCCAAAGAATAATGATGGAATAATCTTGATAAGAGCTTTCAAACCTGAAGAGAAACTACCACGATTGCACCACTCATATAAAACCACAAGTAAAACCATAAATTTATCAGAATCGCCAACTCGCCTTTGAAGATTCTGTATCATCATGATCTCAAATAAAAAACCACAAATTTTCCCAAGACCCTGGTTAATTTGGCCTATGATTAGACAAGATTTTTTGGAAACCACAATAACTACCTATGTTCTATTCATTAAAGTCTTTCTTGCAACAGTATAATTAATCAATACAATGCCAACTTTAATATTACTTAACAAAATGCTACATTCAAATTTATGTGACAAGGAGCTAGACTACTAAACCTTGCTAGTGATAGGGTGTTTATGCTATATATCCCTTTTTGAGATATCAATGCAGTATCTACTTTAAAAGAAAACTTTTCCTTGTGTTACTTTACTATGTTGTATTAATTGATTTTGATTTTTAATGCATTTTTTTATATCTTCGAGTATGATTATTAGCCATATGTTATAGTTGTGATTTTTTATTATAAGATCTATTTGGAAAAAATGGAGAAACTGGAAAATCAACTGAAAGCCAACTATTGATGTTAAGCTTCACTAGAAGTGTTGGTTGACGAGAAGAGCAGTAGAGTTACTACTATTAAATAGATAAAGATGTGTATTTATTGGACAATCGTGTTTTAAAGGTTTGTTGTGATTTTCAAATAGATACTCATCTATGTTCATGTGTTGATTTTGATGCTATGAACATAGTTTGTGAAAGTAAGTCAGAAAATGAAAAATATTAGATCCAATAGGATGAATGATCAAAAAGCCGTAAAAACTTCATTTGGCCAAGTTGACAAAAAATAGTACTTTATTTCATTTTTTTTTCGATTTTTTTTCCTCTCATGTATTGTTGTGTAATCAACTATTTCAAGACAAAGGACAATGGGTGCATCCAAAATTGTGTTGAGTCGATGTGCATGCTTCTAAGATTCTAATGGAAATTCCAATCACAAGTATAGACATGTCGTCATTAATAGTTGATCTTATGTAATAGACACCAAATGATATTATTAAAAGTTTATGGCAAATATGCAAGCCTACAATCAACTATAAGAAGATTTTGATGATCCAATTGATGAAGAGGAGGATCCAATTGATGAAGATGGTGATGTATCTTCTCAAGCAATAGATGCATCATCAAAGGCGCAACATTCTCTTTGGATTTTATGTGTCCATGAATGACGTGCTCGATCCAAGCTGGAGGTGAAATAAAAAGAAAATTGTTTCGAGTATATTCGGAGTCATAATTTTTGGCCAAAAAAAGAAAATTGTTAGGTCTCTATATTGCTAGCCACTAGGTCCAGGAGAAGTAGTATTAAATTCTGACGGATCAGCCATAGGAGCTCTAGAAGAAGTTGGATGTGGTTATTTTGTTCTTTGGGAGCATCATCAAAGCAGAATGCAGACTTATTTGAGAAAACTATAGTTTTACAGTAGAGATTGAAGGAATCCTTCAAGAGCTAAGATGGTGCAAGGATCAAGGTTTCAACAACTTCCAAGAACAATCAGATAATAACACTGTTGTTCAATCAATATATCATGATAAAGTTTTCCCTTGGCAACACTATTTATCATTATGTGAAATCAAAAGTATTTTAGAACAAAATCATTTTAAGATTCAACATATATCTATAGGGAAATAAATACCCTAGCAGATGGTCTATCCAAGCATGCATCTCATAATGATATTCTAGGTCTATCCAAGCATGGTATTCTGTATTTTGATCAAAGATCCTTTCTATATTTTCGCCTTAGATAGATAGAATAGAATAGAAATAGTTCAAATATAAAAAAACTGTCATGGGATTTTTAGAGAATCTTTGTGAGACAATCTTTTTAGATTTTATTAACAGAGTTTTCATTGGATTTTAGACTAATCTTTGTAAGGTTGTCTCTTGGATAGATGAGTATAGAGCTCTCATGCAATTTTTGGAAAATTTTTGTACGACAGACTCTTTTCTTTTTGGCAAGTCTTAAGCACACTGTCTATGTAATTTTGTTTCATTATTAATTAAATTTGAGGGATATTCGCCAAGTACCGTACTGTATTTAACTTTAAAAAAAATCTACTCAAACAATAAGGATAGAACAATTTGATAACATACGAATAACTACTAAAGAGATTAGTAAATCAATTTATTGAGTGACAACTTAGGATACATCTAAATATCTTTGGATAGAGAAACACGGTGATGATAGAAAACAAACACCTGCAAGTTAATCTTTTCTCAAACTTAAATACAAGAACTCCAAATCTTTCAATGACTATTCTTAAACATTATATTATATTTTCATTTTTAATTGGTTAGATCTCATATTGTCTTGTGCATTGACATGTTGTTGTTCTATGTTTTGACATTTCAATTAGGTTGAATCAAATGTTTCACCAAAAGAAAGTGTAATTGATTCCAAAGATTTTAGGATAATCTTTGCGAGTTCAGTTCTTAGTTGTATCATGTTCCTGAATTGTCCTGGGATTTTAATAATTTTTGTAAGACGGTTGTTTTCTTCTGGGTAAAAATGACTCCTTGTTGTAAATTTTTTCTTATAATAAAAAAAATATAGACTTAAGTGAAGAGGTTGGAGGACACATTTTAGGTTCACACTATTTTGAATTATTAGTACATTGTGAATAAGTCATTATATACAATTATTTAGAAGTTTTGGTATCAATCTATATATCAAATTAGCTGTGAGACTCACTAGTGCTTACAATAGTACTGTTGCTACTTCTAGAGCTTTTCAGAGGTTTCAAAACGTGTGGCAGCATGGTTCAAAAGATCACGTAGTGACTTCCCAGCTAGTGGACCGGATGGCAGAGTTGAGGCCTAAAGTTGTCCCAAACTCTACAGTTGAGGAAGGCACATTTCAGTTTGTGTTGGACAAATATTTGTTCAAAAGTTTTAAGGACAGCCAGTCTTTCCACTTAAAAATGTGCGATAACATGGAGAAAGAACTTCAGAGATCTCTTGCGGAGCAAATCTTTGAGAAAACTCTAAAGTTGGTGTTATATTTTTCTTTCTCAAGTCAACTTAATCTAATTCATTGTATTCATATTGGAGGAAAGCTACATTTATTTCTTTGATGATCATATTGTAATTGACATTACTTCAACCTTACTGGTTCATATTGGTTACATTTATCTTAATTATTTTCATTTGTCAAAAAATACAATATCAGAGTTGCCTCCTGTTCATGACTTTTTACACTATATTATATATTGGAGTTATAACTGTTAAAGATAAAAAAATCAGATCTTTATGACGAATTTGTTGGTTCAATGGTGAATGTTTTGAGGAACTTTGACAATTTATGACTTTGATCGGGGAAGAAAAGGAGAAGTAATGCAACAAATGATTGATTAATGCTTTCTCGTAAGTTTTTTTATCCTTCCAAATCATATTTGTAATTTTTATTTGTTTTATTCTTTAAGTTGGGAAGTAATGTCAATGCAAATCAAAACCTTAACTCCAGCGGCAGCATCTTCACTACCATAACAGTAGTGCCCAGACCTAATCTGAAGGGCATTCTGAGCTTTGGAGTTTCCGATATCGAGAAATTTAGAAGTCAGTACACAAGTGAATATGTTGGGGTTACTTTAGGATTGGAGTTCGCTGCTGACCCCACATTTGAATTCTCTGGGTTGTTGGGAATACAAATTTTCGGTTAGAGCTGAGGCAGCTTTTGGTTTCCATACACGATCGCTTGGGACATTGAACTATGGATTTAGCTTTTCCGAAGGTGAAATTTTTGTTTTGGTTAACTACTAAGCATCTTTTAATTTTTTATATAAGCCTTAAGGCTTTGAATCTTCCCACTTTTGAGACAGTTCCTACCAGAGAATAAAAAAAAATGGTCAATGACATCAAATAGATAACAGGGGCCTCTCTAGTCCTATCATAGCCCACAATAATTGATTCAAATAGGGGGAGTTCATTATCAATAGAAAGAGATAAACAATACCTCAAAAGATTCACTATGTTATCTTGAACAAGTCGCACAGCACCACCAAAGGTCAGATTATGGTTGGTCTGAAACTCATCTCTAAGAAGTCTAGCCAGATCATCGCGAACATCTGAATTGCCAGATGCCACAAAAGCTATCCTATTCCCAAAGACCAATAACTTCTCAATGTGATCCGAATCAACAAGTCTGCTAGTGGTATACAAACATCGGGAATCAACCGAAATAACAACAATAGCATTCGAGTCACCAATCAGAGAAGACTTGTTATAGTCATATATTTTGATAGCCATTGCACAAGTGCTTCACTCAGTCTTACTCTTAGCCGACTCTGACACCTCCATGGTTAGAGATATTCGACTGCATGGTGTCAGAATGGTATCATAAGTGTCACTGGAAACTCTAAACCAATTTTTTTTCAAACACCCCCTGTTAGCCAGAGGACTCCGATGGCAAAATCAGAAGGACAAAAATGAGATATTTGAGAACAAAAAGAGATAGGGTTCTGAGACAAAGAGAGAATTAGGAACGATGTGGAACAAACTGATTCTTCAATTCAATACATAAATTTCTTATTACTCTCATTACAACCCAAGTATACTATTTATATCCCACAAGTATACAAAAGTACAATTAAGACCTTATACTCTAGATTTAGACAATTAAGTACTCAATTCATGACAAAGCACCCCTCTTCAGAAAGTCTTCCCACAAGACTTCTTATTCAAACTACTTACTACAAACAGTAACAGAAATGAGTGAACGTCAACACTACAATTTATTGAAACAAAAACTTTAATCAACAAGGAAGGAACCAAAATTAGAAGAATGTCTTGTGATCACAGTAGCTACCAATTTTAAGATTTCTTTATCGACACCCTCTGAATTTCTACCATAAACTCAAAGCAAGAAAGATGATTCCTACAAAGACCTAAGTCATCATGAGTTGAGCATCTATTTCAAACTAGTATGGGTAGCATATTCATACAACTGAAGAAAACAACTATGTCCGCAATGCTCAAAGTAATCTTAACGTTCACAAATTCGAAAAGTTGTCTTTGGTTAGTTAAACCAATTGCACTGGTAAACCTATACAGGAAATGATTTTTAATTCATGGGTGCAACATAAGTTTCTTAAATATAGCCATTAGATCACCTCAAACAAAAAAACTCCTAATGATTAGATATTTGATGAAAATGCTAAGCGACTACCACTAAGAACCTTAGAACTGGAATACCATTTCTCTTCCAACATATAACTTCCGAAAAGAGAAACCGATTGCGGCATATCAGATAAATTGGGATGATTTGATCGGTTTTAGTCCATAAACTCCACCATTGGGTCACAATATTTGCCAGAACTATTCCTAGAATCAGGCCTGTCTGCTTTGCTAACATAACCAACGGAGGATTTTATGTCAAAACTGAATTCCGAGTGAGGAACCTTCCAGCATAACCCATAACCTCACCCATCTTTTGCCTTTTTGCAGAATGATGGTCAAACGGAAGTAAATTCTATTCCAGTCGCCTCTTATCAAGTTGATTATGCTCTGGCTGTTGGACATCATGATAAAAAACATTGTCAGAGTCACCGATACGAATAGATGAACCGAGATACATAATGTGGTTTGATGGGAGCAACTTGAAACGAGACGGGTGCAAGTCTTGTAAAACAACTCCTTGTGAGTATGATTAATCCACCAGTTTTATGATTTCTCTAAATATGCGCAAATTCACCATTTTGTTCATCTTATTCCACCCACCTTTTAGCCAGTCCCTCAGAATGACCCCATCATGATGAGGATTAGATGATATTCAAGGCTTATCTGCAACAACACTCGTAATAGGCATAACAACGTTGTTTCTGGGGCACAATTGCGCATTAGATACGAAATTTTCAGCATCAGCAGACTTCAAGCTAGTCTTATCCCCTAACAAATCACCTAATCTTATGTTTACTGAACCTTTGTATATTGCTCCTTTCCCTTCAGAGAATTCTTTATATAATATTTAGAAAAGCCAAACTTCGATAGCATTTTTGTTAGGGTAACTCAAGAAGAAAATACATTGCTTGGCAATTTTTGTTGTCATTTGCCTGCATATCATCCTTCATTCCATCACCATTTTGACAGGAGTGTTTCTGATTCTGATCCCGAAAACCAGGAAAGAATAAATCTTCAACATTCTCTGCAACACTTGATTCGTAACTTCCCCATGTAGAGTCGAAATCCCGAATCCTCTAGAGGTTTGGTAGATATTGTGCACCCAACTCTACTTATTTTGCAGCCTTTCTCTATTGTTGGACGTGCCCACTATAGCAAGATTTTCCCCAGTATAATTTCTCAGCGTCAACTCTTCAACCATGACACCAGAATTATCAATACACCGCGGACTCACACTAGCTTGCTCGGAAGAAACTATTCCATCTAAATTCTTTCCATCCAAAATATCTTAAAGGAAATAAGTCGAGTCCTCATTATGATTACTCTCATTACAAGTTACAAAATGACATGAATCTCCAACATCCAAGTTACTGGCTTTGAATAATAACTCAAGCCCTTTATTAATAATGTGCGTGGTCTCAACAAGACCGGCTGCCCTCATGTCATCATCCACAGCTTCGTCCATGTGTCCAAAGTAGAGTTCTTTTACTCGCACATCTGTCAAGAAATTGATTGATGTTCAAATGGTCTTCCAAGAATCATCCAATTGAGTGGGAAATTGAAGAATCACATCCATCAGAGGAAGAATAGTGGGGCTATACCCTGGACCAAAGTTGATAAAAAGGAATGATTTCTTTGAACCATTAAAACCACAAAAGGTGGAAACATTAGAGTCCTAAATACCCTTTGTAATTCTACCATCCTTGAACTTTTCTATGTGAATCATTTCCTTCTTTAGAAAAAAATAAAAAAGACTTCTTCATAATACCGTGCAAAAGGAGATTGGAGCTTCAGTAGAATATGGATCAAGGTTTTGGAAGAACTAAAAAAAATACAATTTAGACATAGTTTTAAATAATAAAAATAACTGTAGTATTTTATGGAGTTTGATTATATTGAGCGCACTAGACATCTTTATATTTTAGTCGAATGATTTCATGAGAATCTGTATGTTTCCACTGTTATCTTTTTTTTCATTTATCATGTTAATAAGTTTTGATTTAAATTTACATAGATATTGATTTCATAAGAATATTTTCTTGTTAGTTGAAAATCAACCTTTTTATGATACTAAAATTTTTTATGGGCCATTTTTATTTAAATGGCTCGTTATCAAGAATCCCTTCATTGCAATTATATAGCAAAAACTAAGTTCTACTTCAAACCTCCAAGGTAAAAAGAATCAATATGTCAAAAAGCACCATCTTGTCAAAGAGTTATTGCATTGTATCTTTAGAGGAAAAATGGTCAATTTGACGCAAAGCTTGACCTCCTTAGCCAATTTAACCCGAATAAATTCACGACGCACAAACTTTGTTGCAACTCCTGTATTGTGCACTACTGTCAATAAAATATATCTCCTGAGTCTAAACATACATTAGACAACAGTTCAAATCATAGTGAAATATTGATATCTTAATCGGTTGAAGAAGAAATTGAGCAATTTTTGAAAAATAGGTATGATATTTTACAAGGAAAATTCTATCAAAAACCAAAACCATTGTAACTATCGATGCATCTTGTGGATTTTCTTTGCTAGCATATTCTTCGATAATAGCCAGGTGGTATTTTTAAATAAAGTTTAGAGCATATTACCTTGTGAAATCTCTAATCCGCCAGACTTGTATTAGCAAAAATTGAAACAATGATATAAAGAAGAGAAAAGAAAATTTTTATTCAAAATTAGAAAGGTGTATGAGAAAGTACCTCCTCCCTATGGAGGGCAACAATTCGGCCCCTCACATCTAATGTAACCAAAGGTATACAATGTTGAAATCTAGGTGAACAACTTTGTTAGAATCATCATAGTCTAGAAAGTAAAAGACAAGTAAATTAATTAAAAGATTTTGCCTCTATCCCAAAACATAGCCAACATTGAGGTTTAGATTTTTACTAAAACAGTATAACATTAAGTGTTTACTTACGACAATAAGGCTTAGAAATAATACATATTCCAATGTTCTCATTTTATATTACCATATGACTCCAAACCGAACAAAAAATTGAGTGTTTTCTAAGAAAGAAACCAAAACTATTGCCTTGGTGTTGGTAAAGAGCAGGTCACAACTCATAAAACAACAACTATAAGATCTTCAGTATATCAGCTATTTTTCTCGTTTAAGGTTGAAACTTAGCTACACATATCGTGCCAGTTAGAGGAAAAGTAAAAAAAGAAGTCTTTACTCTCCTAGATGTATCTCATACTATCTTATACTGAAATGGTCAACTTAATAGATCTCTATACATAATAAAAGGTCAAACTGAATAAATTTATAAATAACTATTTCCAAAAGATATATTTTACATATGCAATCTGATCTAACAATCCTCTCACTCGCAGAAAGAACTCTACCATATGCAACAATAGCTACACAAGCATTTATGTCATTCAAAATTGATCTTTCATTCACGTTCCAAAATTCGAATGCCAATACAGAGGTTTTGCTTCTAGGTGCTCTGATATTTCAAAATAGTTACGTTCTAGATTAGGATAAATTCATAGTATAAGAGGCAAAATTGATGAAAAGAGCTCAATCTATAACTTGTTTCTCGACCATTAAAATGTTTCAAGGATTGGAGACTCCAACAATGTCGTGCAATCATGTGCTTATTCCAGGCGGTAGATTGTTTAATCAGTACAAACCCAATGGATAAAACGCAACTGAGAAGCAAAAAAGTTGACTGTAAAATCTAATTCACGAAAGACATGAGTTATTTCCACACATCAATCTCCCTTGATCATCTCAAATATAATTGTAGCAATAATAATATTCATCACAAACTCTCATATCGTTGTCTAGTATGAACCCGAACTAGACTGTCTGTATATGATCCGCCAAGATCCATCCAACCAGTGAAAAAACTCACGTGATCATTTTACCTTCACACCAAACCAGCTCCAACTATTTTTTAATACCATTTGTGGTTTACCTGACCTGTAAGTTCTATTTCAAATTTTAATTTTTTGCTATTGCCTTGTATTGAAAATAGCATTAATATATCAACTAGATAAATACTCTTTCCATCCATAAAAACTAGTCACATTGTATCCAGTGGATTGCATTCGTTGCTCTGTACGGAAAATCACATTAATGCATCAACTTACATAATTCTCTTTTCATCCCGAAAAA